GATGCCATCTTTTTCACAGACCTTATTGAAATGATCATTTTTGTATTCACCTCCATTGTCCGTACGAATACACTTGATCATCCTGCCTGTTTGATTCTCCACCATCGTCTTCCATTTGAGAAAAATTCCCAGCACTTCATCTTTGTTTTTCATTGTATACACCCACACTCTTCGAGAAAAATCATCAACAAAGGTTACAAAATAGTGCTTCCCACCCAATGAAGGTGTTTTGGAAGGACCCCAAACATCAGAGTGTACATAATCCAAAATGCCTTTAGTATTATGGACGTTGTACCAAATTTAACCCTTGTCTGTTTTCCTTTGACACAATGCTCGCAAAACTCCAAGTTGCAACCTTTACTCATTTTAACAATCCTTGATCTGATAGAGTTTTCAAGTATTTTCCTCCAGCATGTCATGAGCACATGTGCCATAGCCTGGTTGCTTCTGCCTCTTTTTCGTTACTGGATGTTACTGTCGCTGTCTCAATAGCTGTGCTACCGCGATAACGGTACATGTTATTGTTCTTCCGATTAGCCTTCATTACCGCTAGTGCACCAGAGCATACTCTCATCACTCCATTTTCTGCAATGATTTTGAACCCTTTTGATTCTAGGGCTCCCACAGAGATGAGATTCTTCTTCAAATCCGGTACATATCGAACATCTATCAATGTTCTGATCATTCCATCATGGTTCCTTAATCGTATTGAACCAATGCCATATGAGGTAAGAGGGCTGTTATCCGCTGTGTGGATGACTCCATATTCTCCTTCTTGAAATTCCACGAACCAGTCCCTGTTGGGACACATATGATAGCTACAAGCCGAGTCCATCAACCATATGTCTGATGATGTTGATGACTCTGTTGTAACTAATGAGAAGTCTGAATCATCACAATCAGCTACATTTGAATCCATAATGGCCTTTCCATTGTTATGTTTGGCCTTATTCTTCAACTTCGGACAGTCTTTCTTCCAGTGCCCTTTTTCTCGACAAAAGGCACATTCATCTTTGCTGGGTCTGGATCTTGACTTGGATCTTCCCTTCTTTGTCCTCGTTTGATTTTGAGGACGACCCCTCACAAATAGTGCTTCTCCTTCTCCGCCCTTCTGTTTTTCTCGCTTTCTTTGTTCATAGCTGTACAAAGCCGAACAAACTTCTCTGAGAGAAACTTCGTCATTTCCATGGAGTAGAGTAGTTTCAAGGTGCTCGTACTCATCAGGAAGTGACGCCAACAACATTAAGGCCAAGTCACCATCATCATAAGTTGTATCCATATTTTGCAAATCTGTGACCAACTTATTGAAACTGGTGATATGTTCATTCATCGTGGTACCAGAAACATAGATGAAGTGAAACAGTCTCTTCTTCATGTACAATTTATTTTGACTGTTTTTCTTTAAAAATTTATCCTTCAGTGTTTTCCATAATTTACTTGCAGAAGTTTCCTTTGTGTATGGATATTTCTGCTCTCTAGCAAGGTAGGATCGAATGGTACCGCAAGCAACACGGTTGATAATTCTCCAATCTTCTTCTCCAATAACATCTGGTTTCTTTTCTTCAATGGCCAGATCTAGCCCTTGTTGAAAAAGGACATCTAGAACCTCGCCTTGCCACATCCCAAAATGTCCGGACCCGTCAAATATTTCTACCGCAAATTTCGCATTTGACACAATTCTTGTCATAAGCGAAGATGCCAATGATGACGTATTGTTGACACTTGATGTAGATTCTTCTTGTTTATTGTCTCCCATCTTTGACACAAATATTATTTAATAGCTGACGACACAAATCAAAATTATTTCCTTTCTGGTGTGAGATATCAGACTAAGCTGTAACCACAGAGCATACTCAGACAGAACTTTGACTCAATTACCAAGATAAATCTTTTCTGATGTGGAAGATCAGACTATGCTGCAACCACAGAGCATACTTAGACAGTACCTTGGCTCTGATACCAACTGTTGCGGAAGCCAAATGTATATAGTGTGAATGAGTCACAACTACTACCNAGAGGGCTGTTATCCGCTGTGTGGACGACTCCATATTCTCCTTCTTGAAAATCCACGAACCAGTCCCTGTTGGGACACATATGATAGCTACAAGCCGAGTCCATCAACCATATGTCTGATGATATTGATGGCTCTGTTGTAACTAATGAGAAGTCTGAATCATCACTATCAGCTACATTTGAATCCATAATGACCTTTCTATTGTTATGTTTGGCCTTATTCTTCCACTTCGGATNCGGCCAATTTTGCCTACCTACTCGGACACAACCAATATTTTATTCCACTCCAAAAATACAAGTGAAATAATACTAAAGAGAGAAGATACAAATACCTTAAGAAGAAGGCAAATGAGAGGTGTTTTGGATCCTAAACATTAGGCCTCCTTTTATAGGGAAAAAATCCCAACCAAATATGTCACCCACCGATGTGGGACTTTTGACATTTTCAACAACTCCTACGTATAATTAGTTCGATCCTAAGAATCTTAAAGGTTAAAGCTATCGAGTTTAAATCTTGCTTCCGCCTCTGATAAATATGAAAAAATAGAAATAAAATAAAATGTAGATATATAGGAGAGGACATTACTGTCAGCAAATTCAGCCGCCTTCCCAGCATTACAAATGGCTACTGCTAAAAATCCCACTGATGATAACAACACTTCCCTTCGATCGACTACAGCTCTACAATCCGAGATTTCATTACCATCTGAGGCCAATTAAAAAGAATTGAATTAATTAAAATTTTACAATAAAAGAAAGAAAAAGAACAAGAAAACTAAAAATATTACACCAACCAGAGGAACTGGGTAAGTCAACATTTGGCTCCCTAAATGCTGTACATACAATTTGCCGTTGCCCCAACTAATAAAACCAATAAATTAGTAGTACAATTTGAGTAAAAAGAAAAAGAAGAAGAAATTGAAAACTGAGATAGTAGTTAGTAAGTGTTACCGTGGATGAAGAACTAGAAGAAGAAATCTTGCTAAAGATTAATGAATTTGGGAATGATCCCAGAGATGAAAACGACGCCGTCGCCATTTTAGTAAAATCAGCTCAAAACTAGCAGCTGATGCTATCGGATATGGATTGATTGATAGTAGAAGGAGAGAGAAGCTTCGCGGGAAGGAAATAACGGCCTCAGATTTTCTTCTTCTTTTGCCCTTCATTTGACCATCTTACCCTTCTAATGCAAAGAAGCCCCTTTTCAAGGTAAGAATTTTTTTTTAATTGGTGAGTGAAAAATATTTTTCGAAGGAAAAAAAATATTAAATATAGCAAAATTCGAGTGTTTGATGATAATTGTAAGTATTAGATATTTATAAGAATGTATAGGTATTAGTTGGAATAAGTAATATGAAATACTAAGATAAGATAGGTGTAAATGATATGACGTTCGCCCACAAGCGAAAAGTCATTTTTCCTCCTTTGATGCAAAATATTTTTCTTGAAAAATAAATTTGTTATACCAAATATCAAAAAGGTTATATTTGATGGACTCTCGGCTCAAAAGAGTATTTTGAAAATAGGTATGAAAATACCAGAATAAAAACTAAGATGAAAATACTATAAAACTTTCATCATACCGAATACATAAAAAAATCATGGTTTTGTTTCTAATCCCTATACCCTCTCACTTGTGAATGCTCTAGTGATACAAACCATTACCATTTAAATAGTTGTAGCTGGATTAACAAGAATATGTGTTAATATGTGCTTGACCAATAGAATTAAAAGACTAACCTAAGAAATCCATATTTGCGAAAGTTTTTCTTTAATCTGATAAGAAATTTGGACGTCCGTGCAGTGACAAGAATGAGATTCACAAAAGTAAACTAAAACCATTAATTTCCCTTGAAAGAAAAATTATGCAGCGCAGTCAAACTTCTTTATACCGGTGGAAATTTTTTGGTTGCTATAGTGAAGTGTTGTATTAAGGACATATAATATAACATAATGAAAATCAATTTCGAAAAAAATTAATTTTTATAGTGAATGACTATTATATAACGATATTGTTATAGAGAGGTCTGACTGTATTAGAGCTCGTTTGGACATACAAAAAATTTCCTCTTTTGAATTTTTTTTGAAAACAATATTTGGTTATCAAAATCTTATCACTTTTTCCAATTTCACTTGAAAATGGGAATTTGTTAGTTTTTAGTTTTACAAATTTACCCCATATTTTTAAATTTTGAATAGGATAATCAAATTGGGATGGTTTTGTTATTTTTTACAAGTTGTGGGGTATAAATCATGTTTCATGGTTTTGAAAAAAAAAAATTTTAATATGTTGCAAAAATTATAATCAAACACAACTTCATCTTCAATTCAAATTTTAGTGAAATTTCAAATTTGAAAAAAAAAATGGAATTCCTGTCCAAACGCCTACTTAGAGTGAAATGAATCCAAATAAAACAAAATAAAAATAGAAAATTTATATAGTCAACCCCAATTCGACTATGATACCCATTTTGTATTCTCATATCCTTGCAACTGGAGCAATCAACCAAGAATGCTGACAAGTGACAACCACCACAAAATCCAAAATCAATATCAAATTCCTTATCACGAAATAGTATTACCACCAAACATTTTTAGATTATACATTACAAAATCCAGCAAACTCAGTCAACTGGACTTAACATTTATTCAGTCCCTAGCAATAAAACTTGTTTTACAGACTCACTAACTTGAGGGTGTTTGCCTTCTCCTGCAGACTGTCGAGCAAGCTATCGAAACTCTTCTTGAAAGAGTCCACACCCTCCAATTCAAGTTGAGACCCAACAAAGCTCCAGTCAATCCCCAACTTCTCAAGGGCACTGTAAATACCCTCGGCTTCAGATACGTTTGAATCAATCGTCCTTGCAACAGAACCGTGATCGATAAATGCTTGAAGAGCTTGATCGGGCATCGTTGAAACCTAACAGACATTTAATTAGAGGTCAACCATCAGGCAAACACAAGGTAATATGGATTATTCGCATGGCATTTTCGGAGGCCATCTCTTAAATTTGTGTCCCCATTAGCCCAGTGGGTTCAATTTGCCTTTTAAAAGTAATTGCATTCATTATTCCTCTTGCAGATAAATATAGCCCATTGGGCTAAAGACATAATTAAAATAGTTGCCTCAAAAAAGGCCATTTGTGCAAATGCCTCGAGTAATATTTCATTAGAGGTCACTCCAAGAAAAGTGATTTGATGAATTATTCTTTTTGCAGAGAAATATAGCCCACTAGGCTAACAGGAGAGAACTTACATAGTGGCCTCAAAAACACCATTCAAGAAAGTGATTTGACGTCAACGCTACAGCGCCACAATCACCACAAACAAGAAGGCAATAAGATGACTCACCGTGTCTGGTCCAATGAGAGGATCCACATATAAAGTGTCAGGATATGCTGGGTTCTTAACGCTAGTTGATGCCCACAATAGCCTCTGTTTCTTGGCACCTTTCTTTACCAAAGCTTCCCATCTAGGACCAGAAAATTTCTTCTGGTAAAGCTTATAAGCAAGAGCTGCCTGCGCATTTGCAGCCTGTAATGGAAGTAAGACAACATGAGGTTATCTGTCACTTGTATTTCTCTAACATCCCAAAAAGAATAGACAAATTCATAGCTGTATTAGCTACCTTCCCGCGAAGATCAAGAGCCTCTGGAGTTCCAATTTTCTCAAGCATCTTGTCGACAAGTGTGTCTACTCGACTGACGAAAAATGAAGCAACACTTGTGACTCTGGAGAGATCACTTAGCCCAGAAGCCTCAAGGCCATCGAGGTAAGCATCAATGACTGCTTCATATCTTGCAAGAGAGAAGATGAGCTGTGCATAGACATAGGAGCTACTTCAGTATTCAGAAGCCACTAAAGTACAAACAGGAAATGGAAGAAAATCACATGAAACATCATACTATTTTAAGCAGTTTCTTAAATAAACAAACATGGACCTTAAGTAGTAATGGATTTTTGTGTTTTTTTTTATTGTTCAGTAGTAATAAATCCTTATTTAATTAAATAATTCCCTTCATCACTTACTAATCCAGTGCCATACAATTATCTCTCTTATAAGCAAGAGAAGACAAGCAATCTTTAATCTCATGCATGAAACGTCAAGTTGTCAAAAAGGCAACAAGGAATCAACTCACCGTGACATTAACACTTATTCCAAGTGAAATGACTTCCTTGATGGAAGGAATGCATGGAGCAGTAGCTGGAATTTTTATATACACATTGGACCGCTCAACCTTCTTATGAAGCCACTTTGCTGCGTCTACAGTGCCCTCTGTATCCTCAGCAAGTCTAGGTGAGACTTCAACGGAAACGTACCCATCGCCACCATCTGTTTTATCGTAGATTGACTCAAAGAGTTTGCATGCATCTTGGATGTCCTTTACCACAAGTTCCCAGTATACGCTCTCTATATCTTTTCCAGCTTGAACAAGTTCCCTAAAAATAGCAGCGAATGAAGATACGCAGAGTGGAAAACAGGCAAAACGAATAGTCACAGGTGAAGAAATCATATATTCATTTCCTGTAATATGTTGTTGAAAGGACCCTTTAAAAAGAAAAAGGTAAACAACATCTTATATTACCGCAAGTCCATCAAACACTATTACAATGTGATAAACACTGAAAATGGCATTGATATAAAGCTCCAAGGAAGAGTCAGAGGGTGTAATACACATAACAAACCCAACCTTTAAATGGGTATTTGATCAAACAACATTCATTTGGAAAACAAAAATATTTATCTTTACTTTCCCAAGATCCAATGCTCATAACTTTCCTCAAATTGTGCCTCCTCTCCTCCTTTACTCTTCAATTTTGGCATTCACGTTAAATCAAATAAAATGGTTTCTAAACCCCTAGCATTCAACAACAAACTATTGCCAAAAAAGCACAACTGCTAATGAGAAACATTTCAAAATCTACATTACCTAAACTGTTCATTGTATGCATTTGATGTTGATATCGCTTTCTGGAAAATCTGCAATCATCAAACTAACAGTTAGGTAGGTTGATGGAATTGTAGACTAACAACTAGAAACTAAAAAAAGTAGAAATTTTATTCAAATAAGAGAACAGCACAGAAATAACGACAAGGGGTTAATAGTTTACCGCAGGATTGCTGGTTACACCTCTGACACCACTTTCAATCAGTGGAAGCAAATCCGTAACAGGACGGCAGAGATTGTCATACCATGGGCTTTGGCCTTGCCTCTCGTAGAGATCATGGAGAGTTGTTCTCTTCACTGTGCTTCCATTTCCATCAGCTTGAGAGCATTTGACACTGTCAAATAAATTGATGATTAAATATTACCCAATTTGTGCCAGTACAAATGCAAAACATGCGTTAGAAAGACAAAGTAATGCATAACATGTGTTAGAAAGACAAACTAAACTAAGGCAGAAGGGTACACATAAGGATTTGAAATATCTTCTTTTTTTAATATTAAGCGACATTGTAGAAATTTATCAGCAGAATTGGCATGCTGTTACGAACAATTGAGTACAACAGAAACAGTTTCCAAAGATTATGTAGAGAGCTAATAAAGTTTCCAAGATTATGTAGAGAGCTAATAATTGGCATGGCCTCTACATGGTAACAATTATGTGCATCTGCAGGGGCAGATTTATAGCCCAAATTATGGGGCACGTGAACTCATGGTCTCTCCGTTAAACTAGGTATTTATGTATGTATTTTGAGAATTGGTCTAATATTATCTGCTGCCCCCATGCACCAAAGAGGCTAAATGGTGGACTTGGTTGAATACTGAGTTATACTCCTTCCGGTTCACAATAAGTGACCAGTTTACTTTTTCATTTTGGTTCAAAATAAGTGTTCAGTTAGGTAATCAAGAAAAAATTCAATTTGTTTTTACTCTTTTACTCTCATGTGCATATACCTAAAATGTTTTCTCACTCCTCACTATAACTATGTGACCAATATTTAATAAAGATAGTTTAGTCATACTAGGTATTTTTGCATAGGATTTAGCATTTTCTTGATGGGCGTGCTAAAAGGAAACTGGTCACTTATTGTGAACCGGAGGGAGTATATCCAAAGGAACAAGAATTGATTCTCTACTTTTTTTTCCTCTTTGCTTTAGTGGTGAACCCATATTCTAGAAATCCTAGATCCGCCTCTCTGCACATTTGTAAAGATTTGAAA